AAAATGGATGGTCATCACAAACCGGTAACTGTAATAGACTTAAGTATGGAAATTTATTTCGGCCATATACCTAACATAGCGTTTTGTGCTAGACGAATGAAGTATACCGAGGAATGATACATTCTATAAGTATATATACCTATATCAATAATAATAAAAATAATCTGCAGTCGAATACTCGGATGTAAGTATGTTAGCTACCTGTGTGGGTTTCATGTGGTATTACCGTGAATACTGTGACATTTAAAATTATAATATATCAGCGCACGCGCGCAATATAGGTTCCTACCGGGTATTTTGTTAATAGTTTATGTCCGATCAAATGTCAACGAGTTACAGTCCATCCGCTTGCAATATCACAACAATATATGTTATATCATCATACAATTCACTTAATGATTTCTCTAGAAAAGAAAAAAATACTTGTGTAGTTATGCAGGAGCTGTCTAAGATGTTTAAAGTTATAATGTTATGTTTTATTATAGGCATCGTCTTATACCACAATATGTTTTCGTTTATGCGTTATGTACTGTTAATATATTTTAAAGATTTTAATCTTTAATATTATACGTAAATTTAACATACCGTATTCGTTGAAAAGATTTCAATTTCTTGCGATCGAAAATTATCAAACTTAAAATAAGTGTGATTCACTTGCGAGTTGAGTTTTTTTTGAACGATAAGCATATTTTTTCTTTAAAAAATAATGACAACGTGCAACAGAGTGATAGGATAACCTAAAAATTTGCTCACGATTTTGTTTGCAATTTAAAAATTCAATAAAATTATTGAAATAATGTATTATAACTAATGTATGAAATAAATAATGTATTTATATTTTGTTTTTACTTTTTAAATTTTAAGGATTTGTTTAGTATTATCTAGGCATATTATAAAGTATAAAAATCTATCAACTTAAGAATCTTTAAATACATTTTTTTTAATTGGTTTAGATAAATTGTTCTAAATGTTTCATAGTTTATTTAATTTAGTTGCCTTAAACAAAATATTTTGTATTATATATTAATAAGTTTTTTTTATAAAATATTATGTTTATATACTCTACTCAAAGATTGGCGGCTTTAATTCTTTCCTCATTTAAGTATTAATAGATAATACAACTTAAATACAACCACATAATAATTTATAAACTAATTCATCTATATTATAATTTACTATGTAACTGATATATTTATGTAATTATTTCACTATAATATACATAAATAATAAAATTTTATAATATTTCACAAAACTTGAGTAAGCTTGTATTATTGTTAGGAAACTATTTGAATTAAGTTATAAATAAATAAATATATATATATAATTTATATAATTATATAAAAGTTAAACATTTTATTAAATCTTATGATGTCTTTTGTTATTTTAATTTAATACAATTTAATAATTATAATATATTGTTTTAGTATAATAATTTGAAACTAAATCTAAAACTATTTATAATGAAAAAAGAAATCAAAATTTAATTTGTAATAACCAAATTTGAATAATATAATATATAATATTATGTAAAGTAATACAATATAATGTATTAAAGTAAATTGATGTGAAAATTAAAAACCATATATTTGGAAAATGAAAGTATGTTGAAGATTGTAAATTTTAATGGAGTAAACCCAAATGTGAATAAATAAAAAAAGTAACTCTTCAACAATTCAACTTGTTTTATAAATTATAGAAAAAATAAGGAAATTTAATACAGATTCAAATACCAGTTTCGTAATGTATTTATTGCTTATTAATTAATAATTAATTACGAAAATGTTTACACGTATTAATGAAAATACATTTAAGAAAAAATTTAGAAATTTGTGGTACACAATAACAAAAAAAAGGTCGTTCTGCTGTAGAGTATACTTATTCTTATTGAGTAAGTCACTGTAATGGGTATACTGTATACCCATTTAGTACATGTACCTATATTCAAATTTTGATTCGATGAAAAGTCATACAATTGTGAATATATAATATATTGTGTGAAATTTGTAATCAATTGGTCAAAAACTGTGTATTCACATAATATTTATCATATAGATATTAACCGAATAATAATGTCTATACATTATAATTAATAATTTATCTACCAATCGTTTCCACTTTGTTTCTGTTAAAATATTCTCAAATTTTTTTCTTTTTTTTTTTTTGTCAAAATCGTTCTAGTATTTATTATTATTATTATGATTATTATATTATAATTAATATTTTAGTATAAAAACCTTAACCATACCTATTGCCATACTGTCTCTTAACTATCAGTTAAATATTGTATACTTTATAATATATAATAACTGTTATTAAATTTTTACATTTATTTAGAATAACTTGTTTATGGAGAAATATAATATATAATACAGAAAATTATATAAAGTCATGATACATATTTTATATATTATTCTTAAAACTATGACAACCCTATTTATAACCAAACAAATACTCGATTTTGATTTAAATAACAAAAATTGTTACCTATGTATTAGAATTGTGTATTTTAAGGATACGGTGGATGTTTTCTTCATGTTTGTTTTATATAATTTTATTAACCATTAATGATTCAAATGTTATCTTTTCAGTTTATTTTGTATATAGATCTAAGAATTTTTAAAACAATTACATTAAAAATAAATTGTTACTATTCATAAACATTTGAATTTCAATATTCATAAAAAATATACATGGCACTATGTTATTTTCTTTTTTTTCTTTTCAAAAACAAACTTACGAGTATGATGATCTTGTGCTACATTTTAATTTTAAAAAGTTTCAACAAATGTATAAATTTATAATTTTTTTAATTCTACCTATATTAAGTTTATAACGTTTAATATATTATCTCATATAAATTTATCAAAAATAGTAAAAATATTTCTATGAAATTCAAATTTAACCATTAGAAGTGTTAGAAATTTTTTCTCTTTTATTAGTTAACACTATTAAATTAATTCTATACGTTTAAGTGACAATTTTATGAAACATTTCAAATTTTTGAAATTTATATTCACTCATACTAACGTTTATTGTTCATGTTTAACACACAGGTATTTCATGCATAATTAATTGCGAATATCCAAAATCTAGTGCTTCGAGAGCTATAATATAGATATTTTACGCGTAAAGATAACCTTAGTGTGAAGCGCAAAGGTCATTGCTAATGAATACTGATGTTGATTCGGTAATGAGATTGTTTGATCGAAATAGTTCAGGTTAAAATAAATATGTGTTAAAACGAGTAGCTAAGCGTAAACAATAGTATAACATTGAATTCGTCTATGAAACGTATACCTATAATACTACAATCTTAACAAAATATTTGGAGTTTTTGAAATTTTATAAAAAATTAAACTCAATATTGATCAGAATCAAAAAAAAAAAAAAATACATTTATAAATTATAGTACTTATATATAGTATATAATGTATTAACACAAAAATTATAATTATTTGCCATAATAATAGTGGTTTATTATTTATTTATATGTAACAGGCATATTGTATACCCGTATATGTATTATATTTATTCATTTAATTATAGATTTTATGATTTTTAAATTAATAACTATTTAGGTATATTTTATTGTCATCTCATTGAATATGTATAATTAAAGTAGTTAAAATCGTGAGTTTGGATTATAATTAATCAAAATATATGCCTATATAGTTAAAAGTAGATTTTTACAAAATACATTAATCATAATATTATTTACTAATATAATAAAAATAAAATGCTGAATTACAAGTAATCTTTAAGGAGACTATAGTTTTTATACTTTATTATATTCATCTAGTTTCACTATCCCCGCATTTATATTATAATGTATCATATTGACATAGGTTAAAGCCATGTTATTATTTGTGTGTAAAACGACTAGAAAAAAGAAATAAAAAAGAAAAGAAAAGCAAAATAAAGAATAATGAACTATGTGCTAAAAAAATTATGTTTTAGTTTAAAATGTTTATTATATTCTTAAATTTGTTTTGATTATCATTAAAATCCACTTAACACTTCTAAGGCGTTTAAAATGAAATTGGTTTTGTAATTTATTAGTTAAATACAAAATCATTTCCCTCTAGAATTTTGAAAATGGATGTTCTCTTTCACTTCACTTCATTTATAAACTTTGTGTAATATAATGATAAATAAAAATAATAAAATATTTTCTAATAATTTTTTAAATAATTTAAATTGTTATTGCCAGTCCTATTTCAACTATTGCAAATCAATTACAATGTGAAAAAATATATTTTATTATATGATGTACGATAAAAGTAAAAACTATTACGAATGTATTTTAAAATTATTTTAACATACAATAATGTTTTTGAGATGGATACAACTTTTTTTTTGTATCTAATCTTGATAGATTTTCGTTATAATGTTAAAGTGTTATAATTTCGTGTTGCAACCGATGAATAATAATATTATTATTATAAATTATAACACAATAACAAAAAAATATAAAATAAAAAAATAAAAATATCTTCTAATTATCGTTCATTGTTTTCCCATGAAACGAAAAAATATCATGTACTATAGAAAAACCATGCAAAACTGTCAAAATCACGAATTTACAAGACTACAATAATATTTTGATAATAATTATTAATAATTTATCATTCGTCGAGTAAGACACACGCGATATTTAATGTACTTACGTAACGCGTCTGCATCGCGTAAATACTTTAGGTGTAGTTTCGCGAACAATACGAGTAATGTAGCTATAATATTGTATCGCCGACGTTACATGATCGCCCCCTATCGAGATGATTCGCTTTATGAGAGTACCGCTTTATAGTTCAACATTTATTTTTATTTTTTTGTCGTCGGCGATGACACAACATACCGGTGGTACCTATAGAGGAAGCAGTTTAGTAGTTATTACGCCTAGTGACACTTTAAAACTGGTTATTTTCGCGATATTTTTTTTCCTATACACCGCAAACGCAGCGTACCCTACCACCCGTATATTGTAATTGTTACATGCTCGTGTTATCCATCTGGTACGACTTTACCTATATATAGCCAATTCGGTTTTCAAAAGATCATCATTCAACCGGACAACGCAGAACAGTCAACATGAAATTCGTAAGTATTCGGATAATGAAAAACAAACGATATCATATAGCTATAAAATCATACACTCATACCGATATTTATAACTATATCATATTGTATAATATATAATCAGCTCGTAGTATAAGTATACAATAATGTACTCGTATACTAAGGCTTGATGACCTCTGACTATATGCTAGCGGAGGAGTCCTATGCTATAGTTGTCAAAACTTAAAAGCTCTACTAAAAGTTATTTTTTTATATTTTTCGCAGACATCAGCTTTAGTAGTCGCTTTTGTGGTCGTAGCCCTCGTCAGGGCCGACAGCGCAGACAGCAAGACACACAAATCAGAAAAACGTGGTATCACCGCTGAACACGGTTTCGACACCGGTTTGAGCTATGGTTCCGGTCTGGGATTGGGCTCCAGTATTGGCTTATCGTCCGGATTGGCTTCCGGTTACTCCGCTCTCGGTGGATCAGCTTATGGATCGTCGTATGCTCCAGCTTACGGTGGAGTCGCAATCGCCTCTGCACCCGCCGCATACAGTGGAGTCGCAGTCGCCTCTGCACCCGCCGCATATAGTGGAGTCGCAGTCGCCTCTGCACCTGCATACAGTGGAGCAGCTATTGTTGCCGCTCCATCTACATACTCTGCCGCCCCAGCACCGACTGTCGGCCCATTGATCCCAATCTCCAAAGATATACACATCATCAACCGTCATGCCCAACACGTTTCCGCTCCGTACCCAGTCCCCGTACAAAGGAACGTTGCCATCCCAGTGCCACACCCCGTCCCTTACCCAGTAGAAAGACCATACCCAGTAAGAGTTGCCGCTCCATACCCAGTACCAGTCGAGAGGCCTGTTCCATACGCAGTTGACAGACCAGTGCCACAAGCAGTGCCTTCTCCCTACCCAGTCCCAGTCGTCCAGAACGTACCAGTACCAGTTTCCAGCCCAGTACCAGTCCCAGTCGTCAGGCGCGTTCCTGTTCCGGTTGCCACACCGGTCGTTGTTCAAGCACCTCAACCAGCTATTGCTATTGCCGCCCCAGCACCTGCATACGGAGGATACGGTCTAGGATCTACCGCCTACGACGCTAGCAGCTACGGATCCGCCGCTTTGTCTTCATACGGATCTGGTATCTCCTCGTACGGATCTTACGGACCAGCACTGTCTGCTTCCTCGTACGGTTCTTACGGATCAGCTTTGCCTTCTTCTTCATACGGATCTTACGGATCAGCTCTGCCTTCTTCTTCATATGGATCTTACGGATCCGCTCTACCTTCTTCTTCATACGGATCTTACGGATCAGCTCTGCCTTCTTCTT